GCATGGGTACAGCTCTGCATTCAGAGAGACCATGTGAACCCTAAGAGAACCAGCAGGCACTGCTTTGTATTTAAGCACTCAAAATGACCCAGAAAGAGTGGTTTTACTAAAAGCAGGTATGGGACCAGCCTCTGATGTCACTGCCAACTGCCGTATCCCAAATTTCTCTGGCAATATCACAAAGTGAATCCAGAGCCCAAAGACAAACATTTTCTCTGAATCAGCAACAGTTGCTCTGCTCTGGAAGGCTTCCAAATGTGCCCTTCATTCATTAGGAAAAAAAGCCCTAAACCAGACTGAGAATAAGCCAGGAGAAAGAGCAACAACCACAACATGTACTGAAAGGACCAAAGGTGAAAGAAACTACCTGGGCAGAGGGAAAGCACGAGGTGTCAGGTATTGTACAGAGCTGAATAAAGCTTAAAACACTAACCACATTGCAGGGCAAGCAGATGGAAAAGCTTCCACTGCCTCTCTTAGCTTCAAACCAGGATTCAGGTGAAGCAACTCTGTGCAGTCAAAGGTGAACAAGTATCATGTCACTTCTTGGACCCACTGCATGAAAGCATGAATATGGTTCTATGCTATTTGCCATAAATAAACCACAAGTTACTGAGCTCTATGAAGGAACCACTGGGTGAAATTCATGGCTTAGTACAGCAGGTCAAGCTATGTCATTGGAACTGATCCTCCTGGCATTAATATCCCTATAACCTCTTTTATGTCCCGATTCAAAGCTGCTCAGGTGGTAGATGTACAAATCACAGCCTTTGGCAGCAATACCCGACTTGTAACAGCATGACTGTACTGTGAGGCAGATGAGGGAGCTAATCCAGATTAAAGATACTCTTGCCAAGGATAAAAAAAAGCAGTTTTAGCTTTTGTTTTAACATGGTTTAGCTTCACAGCCCAGCTCACATATGACTCAGGGCATGATGCAGGTGATAGCATAGAAAATATTAAGAAAAGCAGAAATGTCTCAAATCAAGATCGCCCCAAAGACTTTACATGATGAAACTACAGCCTGAGAACATAGTTGCTGTACCTAAATATTGCTATAGGCCTAAATACCTTTGTAGCTAAGGATCAGTGTCTGTTGAGTGATGTAGCATCACATATTGAACACTGAGGATAAAGTGAAATATGGGAGATGTAAACCAGAAGTCTCCCACATCTCAATCTCCTGCTGTACCAATACATGTATTTATATAAATCAGTGTCATAAACCAATCAGCCTTTAGCAGAACACTGGGTTTTGTAGCTGATGGCATGGATCTTATGCAAGCCTCTATTCCTCACCCTTTGCTTTCAAGCTCCTTCACCTGGATTGCTAGCTGCAAATCTAGAAAGCTGAAGTGTTTATCCCTCAGATGCCTCCTAGGAATCAGACATCCTAACGCTTCCAATGACATTAATCCAGTGGCAATCAAAGTACTATTATCAGGGTCCTGAAGGCACTAAAAGGACTGTAACAGCCCTGACCAGCCCCACCTGGGTCTCTTACCCATCCTCTCTGTCCATTGGCCAGGGGCTCTATTTAAGCTCAGCCCTGGGCTATCACTCCCTGTTTGAGCTCTGCTGTAGATGTGATGGTCTGCATTCCTGCCTCTGCCTCCTGGATGGACCTTGGGCCTATGCTGTAGGTAGCTTTGCTCCTGGTGGACCCCTTTGCATGTGTTGTAGCTTGTTTCTTGTTCTGCTTCCTGGGTGAACTTTTAAACCATGCTGTGAGTCTGTTTCTGGGCCTGTCTCTTGCTGCTCCTGAATTACCCTGGTACATCCCTTGCTGTTCTGGGGCTGCCTCTGCTTTCCAAGGCATAGAAAGCTATCAGTGTTACTCCCCTGAATCTGTACTTCTGTATTTTATTTCTCTATCAAAGATCGGCTTTGTGTTCCAATGAGCTCCAGCTCATCTTGAGGTCTTACATTTGGTAGAGAGCATAATCCTCTTGGGATTTGGCCCCATTTTTGTGAGAGATGTGGACTCCAGCAGTTAATAGCAAGTCAGGGACATGCCTGCTGTCTTTGTGTTGGTGTCCAGGACGACTCTCACATTCTCCCTTCCCTAAGCAGATATCCCATTTCCTACTTTATCTGACAGCTTCCTATATTTCATTCTTGTTCCTCCCTGAACTTCAGTCTCTGGCTGCCTCTCCTATCTCTTCCTCTCTAACAGAACAGTTTGTCTTACAACTTGCAGCCACCTCACCTATCCTTATTTCACCTCATGCTCAAGTGTAACAGGTCTCTTCCAAAGCTCACTTTCTGTTGCATTAACCAGTCTTTCTGCAATGGCTGCTTACCTCCATGAATCACTTTCTTGTGTGTGTTCTACTTGAACTGCTTGCTCTCTTCTCATCCCCATCTCTGTTCTGTATTTTATTATCATATCATGTTGCACTCTTCTCCTTAGCTGTCTTCACCTATGAATGCTGTCCGAGATACCAATCTACAGATGTGCTTTCTCTTCCATTATCCTTTCCCTTTGCCCCAATACCCAATTCCCTTCTTTTGCACAGGTTTAAGAATAAGGCAAAGGTAAGTCCTCAGACCAAACACTTTCTAAAGTTCCTGCTCCACTACTGATGTCTGCCTGCTCAGAGCTCTCCTATCTGCTGGCTGCTTGGCTTTTCAATCCTTTTGTCTAAGCCAGTCATCCTTCCACATGTATCTGGGATACTGTTCAATAGCAGGGATCACAGGCAGGAAGCCTCCTTTATGCCTCACAACATGCCATTACTAGATAGCCTCCACAAACTACAGTTTGCAAGAAACCAGTGGTAACAAACTAAGGCATTTACTGGCTGGACTCTTCTTTTCTCACTGACTTTTCCTGTTTGCTTTCTGAATAACTGATCCTGAGCATTCACACCATCTGTGCTCTGCACTGTAAGCACGGGCTCCTGTGGAATAATGAATATTTGATCATGGCATGAAAGCTAAATTGAGACTGCATGGTTTAATGCTGCCGTTTCCCAACTGTACAATTCCATTTCTTTCATGTGTTCTTAACACGGTGAATGCACAGTTTGGGTGTCTATCTCTAAAAGACCAGTGAACCAACTTGCAAATCTTCCACTGAAGTACACTTTAGTCCTAAGAATCAACAGGATCTGAGACTTTGGTTGTGATCCATTTTGGAATGAGCTGTAAAGTTCAAGTAGAGTCTGAAGTTTGGGGACATGAAAGCTATGGACCTGGGTGAGGCTCACTTTATCTCTTCCGACTCCTGGCCCTTCTCTCTGTTCTATGGCTTCTGAAAAGCAGTCACTGGGTCTACAGGAGGGAACTTAAAAGCCTGAAGAGCGAAGACCAAGCAGGGAGAAGTACTTATTCTTCTCCTTGTTAGTGTTTTTGGGTTTATCTCTAATTTGCCATCCTATTTAGCACTTTGGATGTGGATGACCCTCTTGTACCAAGGCCTGGAGAGGCACCACACAACGTGCTACACGCTGTATCCTCCTGAGGCTCAGCAATGCTGAGCTCTGACAAATGCCTACCCTGAAGCCTGTGCTCAGTGTTCCGTGAGGAGGCAGCCAACGGCTCTGTGCTGCAGCAGAGCTGAGAGCTGCCAGCTGGCTGTGGAGGGATGGTGGCCTCAGCTGCAGGCTGGCCCCTGTGCGAGCTGTGTGACATATCTGGTCTGGGAGGATTAGGAACCAGGGGAGCGGAGAGGGAACTGCTGCAGGGAGATGAGCCTGGGGGCAGGGGAGAGCATCCATGCAACTGCTCTTTTGACTGTGTCTTGATCCCAAGCTACCTGCCACAGTGGGAGAGGGGAAACTGTAAATGGGGAGTCTGTCTTTCAGGAAAGGCTATGGAGAAATGCAATGCACATTGATGGTGAGATTAGAGGATTCCATTCAGTCAAAATGAAATTTCAGCCTCTGCTTTCTGTGTAATGTGCAGCAGGCCAGAGCTAGGGCAGAGGGTGCTGAGCTTGGAATCCTCTGCAGCACATGAGGCAGAGGGATCCATGAAGTTCCTGCTGTAGAACAAGTACCTCCTTGCAGGTGAAATACCACTGATTGGCAACTTCTCTTGTGATGAGCGCAGAACATGGCCTATGGTACCACCCTTCCTTTTTTTCCTCTCCTTATGCTGCATATTTCCTCAATTTCTCCAGGAAACCCTTTCTCTGAGGCATTGCAAACAGATACTGAGCTCCTATCTCTTAATCAAAGAAATAAAATACAACCCCCCAACATAAATACCCTCCTGTAAAGCACTTATTGGATGTGGCTTGGTATTACAGTATTGGGGGTGTTGGTCAATGAGAAACTTAACATGAGCCAGCAGTGTGTGCTTGCAGTCCAGAAAGCCAACTGTATCCTGGGCCGCATCAAAAGGAGCGTGACCAGCAGGGCGAAGGCGGTGATCCTGCCCCTCTACTCTGCTCTCATGAGACCTCACTTGGAGTATTGTGTGCAGTTCTGGTGTCCTCAACATAAAAAGGACATGGAACTGTTGGAACAAGTCCAGAGGAGGCCACGAGGATGATCAGGGGCCTGGAGCACCTCCTGTATGAAGACAGGCTGAGAAAGTTGGGGCTGTTCAGCCTGGAGAAGAGAAGGCTGCGTGGAGACCTCATAGCAGCCTTCCAGTATCTGAAGGGGAGCTATAGGGGTGTTGGGGAAGGACTCTTCATTAGGGACTGGAGTGACAGGACAAGGGGTAATGGGTTCAAACTTAAACAGGGGAAGTTTAGATTGGATATAAGGAAGAAGTTCTTTACTGTAAGGGTGGTGAGGCACTGGAATGGGTTGTGAATGCTCCATCCCTGGTGGTGTTGAAGGCCAGGTTGGACAGAGCCTTGGGTGCCATGGTTTAGTGTGAGGTGTCCCTGCCCATGGCAGGGGGGTTGGAACTGGATGATCTTAAGGTCCTTTCTAACCCTAACTATTCTATGAATCACTGTGCTCTTGGTTACACAGCCCAGAATTTTACTGGGTTTGTTCTGCTCGGGTGTTTTTGTGACTGTGCTCTCTTTCCCCTGCCAGGTCCATGGGAAGTGTGTGTGTAGACACAACACTGCAGGAGACCACTGTGAGAAATGTGCACCACTATACAACGATCAGCCTTGGAAGCCAGGAGATGGCAAAACAGGGGCACCGAATGAATGCAGAAGTAAGTGGGAAGGAGTTTACTGATCCAGGTTTTCAGGATGAGCAGGCAAAGCTGCCTAACAGAGTTCTGCCTTTTACACTAAAGTTGCTATTATAGAAATGGTATAAGTGCTGGTCATTGATGGAAAACTTCAGCCTGAATGTTGTTTTACTGCACCTGACCCACTGGGGCTATTGGGAAGTGGAATTTACAAGGCAGAAGTCTGTTCTTCATGCAGCTACATCTGTTCGTGTTTTAGCATTCCAGGGTTTTTTGCAGGGCTTATAATACCACAGATTAGTCTCACTGTAAGAACACCACACAGCTCACAACAACCCAGCTTCTCAGACCCTGCTGGGACTGTTGCTCTGTATCCCACTTCCTAGTGTTTAGGAAAAGCAAGGATTGCAGGCAGGTGAAGTACGTTACATTCCAGTATTTCCTCCATGATTCACAATAGGAAAATGCTCCTGTTTGAATGGTATTGCTGTGTCTATCACATCAGCCTGAAGTACATCCTCCTGTTTCCCCCCAGAGTGTCGCTGTCACAACCATGCTGACAGCTGCCACTTTGACCTGAGTGTGTGGCTGGCCTCGGGGAAGCGCAGTGGTGGGGTCTGTGACAACTGCAAGCACAACACAGAGGGACATCGGTGCCAAAGGTGCAAACCGGGCTATTACCGCGACAGAGGGAAGCCCATGTCCTCTGCAGAGGTCTGCAAACGTAAGTGACTTGTTATGTGTGGTGAAGACACATGAATGGTGGAAAAAACATTAAAAGAAAGAAATCAGTAACTCCTATAGAAGTAGCTTATGAGTATTGCTGCCTTTGCTTTGTAATCCTTACCTAAATTCCAGTTTTCTGATCAAAAGATAACTTCTTGGGTTTCTGTGTCTATTTCTCCCCCTGGTATCACGTATTTCTTTTGTGATAACTGCTGCAGTTGTACTGCAACTACACTGCAATGCAATTACATTAGAACTACATCCAGACGCATTGCATCCTGGGGAAAGGTACATGCACATGTTGGTTAGCTCTTTCTGCATCTCCTGAGACTGTGTGCTTATGTATAAGCTGCTGGTAAATTCCATTTGATTGTGCAACATCTGTGTGCACAAATACCTATAAGACTGGCTGCAGGAGGGGTTAGAAACACGGGGCCATGCATATCCACCTGGGAACAAACAGATGAGGGCTCACCCAGACTTACCTCTGGATTCTACAGAGGTAATTTGGGGTATTATGGGGTGCTCTGCCCAAATGAATTAACTCATTAACACCTCAGCAGGATGTCTGTGGAAGTAACTGAAGTGGAGAGGCACTAATGGTTGTACACAGAGGGTGTACAACCTCTGGATCAAGGTAGTTTGCACCCAGGCAGTCTGGAACACCACCCAAATATCCCTTACTTACTGCAAACATTTCCTGAGTATCCCGTCAGGCTTCACACATCTGATTCCATATGGTATCTATTTGGGAGGTTGCTATTTCCAATACAAATCATTTAATTTCTCCCTTTGGGTAGCTTTCCTTCCCTACAGCTCAAACATCATTTGTCAGCACAGAGAACTTCATCCTCCATCACCTATTCTCATACCCACTGGCATCATGTGCTTTTGAAGCTTTCCTGACCCTCTGCTCTTCATCAAGATACCTCTTAAACACTCAGGATACAAACACTCCTCTCCCTACAACTGTGTTCTGTGGCCCATTTCTAATCCTGTTTCTACTCTGAGCAGATTCACTACAGGGAAATGTTGTAATGGGTGTAAATTATTGTGCCAGAAGACTAGTTTTCAGTCTCACAGCACCTGGAAGAATCTGTGTTTGCAGTCTTGTATTTAACAGCAGGTGATGGCGTAGTAACCAACATGTTGTGTAATATTAGATTAACACTGAAGTCAAGGAGTGCTGGAGAGCATCAAAGAGGAAAAACACTGTCTGGAAGCCAGGCTATCTGTGTGGAAACCCTAGAACAGCCTGCCTGGGTGAAATCAGACCTTGACTCTACCTCTGCCTCTTTTGTCTGCTCTGGTTACAGGCTTCTCGGTACCCCCTGCCAATACTCTGCAAAAGAAACTGTTCAGAGATGTACCTTGTTGAAAGAGCTTTATTCCTGCTGCGCCAGTCCAGCACAATAATGTTCTTGTCACCTGGGAACATGCTGCTGCCAGAAGAAGTTCCCCAAATGCAATTGTTCCCACTCTGACTTGCATGCTCTGGTCCAGATAGCTGCCATCCTGCTTTAGCCACCTGAAAGTGGTGGTCTTTTCTAGCTGTACAATCAGTGGAGAAACAGTGGGACCTTTAGCAGTCTATGGTAGATGCCTTAGATGAGCTGCATTGCCCTTTAGAGGATACCTGTTTCTCCTCCTCGATTTAAGAGCATTCTGGACCATGAGCCTGCACTAGAGTTTCTGTTGATTGAGATGAATCTAATGGGCTTGATTCAGCATGTAATGGCATGTGAGGATGCTTGCTGTATTGTAATACAAGGGTATTGGCAGTTCACTCTAGAAAGCCTCAGCTATTGCAGCAGACTGATGTGTGAAAGATGCTTGTACCTGTGTGGAAATAGAAGGCACACTGCAGATATATGTACAGAGAAACCTGGGACAGGTGGGTGGTTAGGCTGTACCTTTCCTGTTTTATTTCAGGTGAGAAGGAGAATTCCCACAATGTTTGACTAATTAAATTAATAGGGTAATGCTCTGTATCATGAAAGAACTGATCCCCAAAGACTTCCCTATGTAGTTTGCAGGCAGTAATCACCTCACATTATCATGCACTGCTGCAGGGAGTTTAGAGGGATTGTTTCACCGCTTTGGTTATCAGTGTCAGCAAAACCAGAAACACCAACAGAGACAGGCAGAATTGATTTGGTTAGAAGACTTGGCTTGATAGAGGGAAGATTTCGCCTCCAGGTCCATCATCAGCTTCTTATGCTTAGAGCTGATATTAAGCCTCTCACAGGATGCAAGATAGAGACCCTCTTCTCCGTCCTTTTGGTTGCAGGTTCATTTTTCTCATACCTCAGCCAACTGATCACACATAGAAGAGCTGCCACTTGTGGATTAGCGTGTTTGTGAGGGTTTACATGTAGTAATTCCAAGGCATCCTCTCTCTTTGAGAAAACCACGCTAACAGTGCCAGGCTAACAACACCAAATGAAAACCACCCACTGGGTAAGTGGTGAAAAGCAGTAATAAACTGCAAACAGCAGACTGAATGGCTGATTATGTTGAGAGCAACCTGGTCCTCAGCTTCCTATTCTGAACTCAGAGGGGGAAATAAAGCCCTCAATGGGAGATCAAAACTTGACCCTTGTGTACAGTAGATGCTGAGCTGAGAAAGGCAATGTGATGGAAAAGCTGAATGAAATGCTGTGCTAATCCCTTTGAGAAAGCACGCTTGAAGAGTGCTCTGCCATCCAGAGCGAAGTCCAGGTTCAGCTGTGACATCCCCCTCGGGCTCACAGAAAGTTAACAGGGCACTGCCCAGGCCCAGATAGAGTCTTTAAGCATTAGTCATCGTAATGAACAGCATTCTCTCTTAATCACTGCTAGGAAAAGAGGGTTGTATAACAATTGGATGTCCTGGCTCTATCCAAACCACCCTTTGCTCACTCTCCAAAGACATTCCCTTGGGAGAGGGGGAAAGAAAATACACGTGTTGAAATTTGACATAAGAGTGAATCTGCTATTCACTTTTGTCTGCAGAGGTAGCTTGCCTCTGGTCCTTTGCTTCCCCTGGTCCTAGGGGACTGAATGAGCCCGGTTGTGTGCAGAGCCTTGGTTTGACACTGGTTAGATCTGTATTAAAAGGAGAGCATCAGAGCCCCAGAGCAAGGCCTGTTATTGGGGGTGACAACACAGGATTAAGTAGTTTGGATACAGACTTGTATGAGAGCTTTGACTCTGAAGCCTAATCATTTCCTAACCAATGGCTAGAAAAGCTGCCTTTCCTTGGCTCTTTCCTGTGGCTTATTTGGAGGCTTAAAGGATCCTTCTGAAATGGCACCATCTTTTGTACTCACCCTTTGCTTAGCTTAAAAAAGCAATGCAGGCATGTAGAGCCGTTAAAAAGGGTCTCCAGGAAAACAAGCTTTACTCTAAGCACAAGGGTTGCAAATTAAAATGCCCCCAGATGCACACACCCCCTGTGGAAAGCTCTGCTTCTCATCCTTTTACTCCTGAGCAGGCGAGGTTGAACTTCTAATTGTAGTATCACAAAGGCCTGATCACGTCTTGGTTCAAAGTCGTCCTTAATCAGCCCTGGCCACACACACAGCTGTCTATCTTATTTCCTTCAGTTAAGAAACAACATTGGCTGAGTCAATCCCCACATCTGACATGCTTTACAGACTGCCTGGGTTTGGTCATATGCTCCAAAGATGCATGTGTATATATTTCACATTCAAAAGGCTTGGTTTATCATTTTGCCTGTTCCTCATAAAATAGTCTACTTCTAGCTATATCTTCTACAGTATTATCAGACAGAAACCTTGAAGTCCATTGAATTACTTGGAGCACTTGCTATTTTCCTATAGGTTTGAACCATACTGTGTTAACCCATATTATATTTAACATCTGTGTCTACTGACAGGGGGAAGACAGCTGTGCTGAGGGCAGACAGTTTTACTGGGGACTTGAGTGGAAGCTGCTGTATGAATTATTCATTTTTTGTTATTCCTTGTCTCCTTTTCTACAGTAGTTTCTGACCAAACAAAATTAGTGTAGGAGTGAGACTAAAAGGCAAGAGGATGCTTTGTGATGCTTCGTGCCTGATGGCCAGCGTTAAAGTACAATGATGAAATTGTTCATTGCGCTGCTGTCAAGGGAAGAACCCAAATAAACCAGCCAGCTCTGAGCCAGAACTGTCTGCACACCGTCCCTAACATAATTGATGATGCCTTTGACAAACAAGGCCATTGTCGTGTTGGCTGGTGTTTTGTTAGCTAGGGAGGCAGATGGAAAGAAAACCTAGGGTTTGCCAAGAGTAAAGCAGCAAAAATCAGCAAGGAAAGATGCTGCATTGTCAAATATTGGGAAATGTAAAGGAGTGAGGTTTTGGAGACTTCCTTTTGTGCTTCTTTGTGAGGTTTATCTGCAAATCTGATACTGTTAAACAGATAAAACCCAGTCAGCAGCAGCTGCCCCTTCAGCATGTGACATGTGGGCTCTTATTTTGGGAGTTACCTTAGCTGCGCAACTGGGATTTTGGCTCTAATGCTCTGGAAGCCAGACAATGTACACACCCGAGCTGAAATGCTAAACAAACACAGACTGGGCAAAGCGTTTGCAAGCCACTTGTATAACTCATCTGGAAGTGGTGTGCGTTTATTGATTCAGCTTGCTCTCTGATCTACCAGGGGCTGTCCCAGTTTCTAACTGGGGAATATGCCCCATTGTTCATTCAGGAGCATTAGTTTTCTTGAACTGTAGCTCCATAATTAATAGAAAGGCTTTTTTATTCCTACCTCCTCCTCAGCTTCTGCCAATGCTGTCAGTCACTGTCCTGCAAGGTGTTTTTTATTCCCTTAGGAATAGAATGGGAGAAGTTCTCATCTTCCTGAATCAGGGTGTAGTCTCCGTTGGTGATAGGTAGCCCAATGATGCTGCTGATTTGCCTATCTGTTCTGTGCCCTTAACTGATGAAACCTGAAAACCAGAAATAAGATGGGAATAAAGGCAGACCCAGAAGATGCAGAAATAGAAGACATTTAAGGTGAAAACTCCACAGACAAATCCTACATATAGAGATATTACAGTGAAAACAAACCTGGATTCAAGCCAACCCAGATGTTGGCAACCTCTTCTTGTGGCTCAGACTGATACGCAGTATAGGAAACATTGTCCCTCCTTACTCCCAAATATATGACATCCATGGTTTTGGATGCCTTGCTGTCTTGCCTTTTAGGGTGACACAGTCAGCCCTGCAAAAACGTGGGCAAAAAAGAGTTCAAGTTAAGCAGCAACTTGCCTTTGAAACTGTCAGTGTTAGCGAGCACTTTACCCTCACCTGCCCTCCAGAAGGGAGAGCAAAGTGCCTGGGTTTGCTCCCAAAGTGAAGGCTGCTCTGTGGCAAACAGGCGAGCTACTGCCATCCGCCAAGCAGCTCATTGTGCAGAGTACATTGCCCATGACAGCACGCTTGTTTTCTGCCCTTAGGCTATTGCGGCAGTGTCCCTTGAAAACAAGGGGCTGAGAGCTGTCTACAGCAGAGTGTACTAATAGTATTAAACATATTGGCATAAAGAGCACAGGGCATGATGAAAAAATGCCTGTGTAGGAAGCAGATCATCAGAGAAATGCCCTTGAAACAAAACTGCTCACCCTTTTTCTTGTGCTATTTTCAAAGGGTGTTTTCCTGAGCATCAACTGTGAGTTTGCAGATGAATCTGTCCCTGCTACACTTAATGCTTTTATTAGTCATACACTTGCCCCTTCCCTTTGGAAAATGATGTGTGTGGAATCAGTGTTCATTTGGTCTCTTATCTGTGAGCTCATGAAGAAAAGTAGTTTGATTAGAAGCAATGATGGTCAAACTTGAAAAGCTTTGGAGCTCATGTTTGGTTCAGATAAGCATCCAAAAGGCTGGCCTCTGTTTCAAGCTATTCAAACACTTTGGGTGCCCAACATTTAACTGAAAAGCTCTGTCAAAGCAGGTCTTAGCCACAAGATTTTTCTTTCTGCCCTCATCCAGATGGATGAAGCAGTGCAAAAGCTAGGGCATGATGCTCTGTTAATACAGAAAGGACCTGAAATCTAATGGCTGGAGTTCAGCTCAGTTCTTATTTTAATCAAATTAACTTTTTTTCTGTATTAGAAAATATATTTTAAATGCATGTATTTGGATTTATGGTTCCCTCATTAAAAATGAATCCTAAATTAGGAGCCAGTGGTGATGGCTGTATGTATGGATAGATAATGTTATACTCTAAACAGCAGTTTTGTGACCTCTCTGTTCACAGAAAAGGCAACAGCTGTCATTCTTTACCTCATCCATGCTTCTGAATCTTTCTGTAAAACACTGAAAGTGAATCACTTGCAAACCCCTTTAAGAACAAACACACAGGGGAGGCTTCTTGCTCCTCCTTTAAAACCCTGGATGGTCAAGGTTTGTGCAGTAGGGAAGAAGTGATCTTTGCACATAAATGGGTCCCTGTGGTACTTGTTTTGCTGTGCTTAATGAGTTAGAAAGAAAAATACAATGCAAATGTAGGCTGACAATGCAATGTTTACAGTTCTGACTGAGGAGAAGGCTCAGGGGAGACCTTATAACAGTCTTCAATATCTAATGGGGGCCAACAACAAAGCTGGAGGAGGGCTTTTGCTAAAGGCCTGTAGGGACAGGATGAGGGGAATGGCTTTAACCTGCCAGAGGGGAGACTGAGATGAGCTCTTAGGCAGAAGCTCTTCCCTGTGAGGGTGCTGAGGCGCTGGCACAGGGTGCCCAGAGAAGCTGTGGCTGCCCCATCCCTGGCAGTGTTCAAGGCCAGGTTGGACACAGGGGCTTGGAGCAAGCTGCTCTAGTGGAAGGGGTCCCTGCCCGTGGCAAGAGTTTGGGACTGGATGAACTTTAAGGTCCTTTCCAACTCTATCTATGATAAGGAAGAAGGCATGAGTTTATCAGCCTTGCAAAGATGTCCCCATGGCATGCAATCTCAGTCAACTCTCACCCTGTCTCCACAGCCTGTGCTTGCCAGCCGATGGGTTCAGCCAACGCAACCTTCAACAGGAGCTGGCGATGCCACCCCAAAACAGGATTCTGCTACTGCAAGCCAGGAGTGGCGGGTCCCAAGTGCGATAGGTGCCTCATGGGCTACTGGGGCTTTGGAGAACACGGCTGCCGCCCTTGTGACTGCGCCAGAGACTGCGACCAGCACACCGGGAACTGCTTCGATGGGTAAAGAAGCCCTTCTTTGGGTTCATGTTGAGATGGGGTTCTGTGAAGTGAAACAAAGATTAGCTGAAACACCGCAGCAATGGAGGGGGTACAATCATTTGAAAAGGGCTGTAAATCACAAAAGGTTTCTTAGATTCCATTTGGCACTTTTAAGTCCTTCATATTATCCAAAGCAATCTTGAAATGATGACTTCTTGCAGTAATAACAGGCAGCTCCACGGAAATACATGGCTTTAAGCTATAATGGTTTTAGACTGACTGCAGTTTTATGGGCCCTGCAAGTATCCTCAGTTCCTAATGACTAAGTCACTAACATTGAGTTACTTAATTCAGTAAAAACAAGCAAACAGAAGCTAAACAGGCATAATACATACTTTTAAAAACGCTCAGCCAGCAGTGGTAAGGCCTAAATAACCTGCTAGATCTGTGATATCTCTGTATGGCATGAAGTCTTGCTCTCATTTGCACTCTCAACATGAAGAAAGCAAGCTCATCTGTTTGAATACAGCCACGTGCAGCAAACAGGGGCTTCTTATCCATCCTGTGACCTAATCATGTCTTCTGGTTTATGTGTCCCCCCAGCTATGACAATGAGCCATTCTTTAACATCCCCATCGGGGGCCGAATCCCTGACCTGGTGCAAACACCGGCCAATGAGAGCGAAGAGGAGTGGAGATGGAATGACCATGAGCAGGGGTTTTCGGCGCTGAGGCATCCAGGTACAGCCCAGAGTCCAGAACCTTTAGTAACTTCACTCAGTGCTAGTTCTTTCTCCTTTCCATCCTGACTTAAATTCCTCCACTCGCCTCTAGCTTGTCTGTCCCCATCTGACAACATTTGATAATCTGAACTATGGAGGTTATCACAGAATCATAGAATAGTTAGGGTTGGAAAGGACCTTAAGATCGTCCAGTTCCACCCCCCTTGCCATGGGCAGGGACACCTCACACTAAACCATGGCACCCAAGGCTCTGTCCAACCTGGCCTTCAACACTGCCAGGGATGGAGAATTCACAACCTCCCTGGGCAACCCATTCCAGTGCCTCACCACCCTTACAGTAAAGAACTTCTTCCTTATATCCAATCTAAACTTCCCCTGTTTAAGTTTGAACCCGTTACCCCTTGTCCTACCACTACAGTCCCTAATGAAGAGTCCCTCCCCAGCATCCCTATAGCCCCCCTTCAGATACTGGAAGGCTGCTCTGAGGTCTCCACGCAGCCTTCTCTTCTCCAGGCTGAACAGCCCCAACTTTCTCAGCCTGTCTTCATACGGGAGGTGCTCCAGTCCCTGATCATCCTCGTGGCCCTTCTCTGGACTTGTTCCAACAGTTCCATGTCCTTTTTATGTTGAGGACACCAGAACTGCACACAATGCTCCAGGTGAGGTCTCACAAGAGCAGAGGGGCAGGATCACCTCCTTCGCCCTGCTGGTCACGCTCCTTTTGATGCAGCTCGGGATACAGTTGGCTTTCTGGGCTGCAACACTGCTATTTTCCAACCCAACTTTACTATTCAGCTTTGGGTTTGGAAACTGGTAAGTCACGAGTAAGGTTGTGTGGAAAAATACTCTCTTTTTGCTGCTGAACTTCAAATGCTATTTGTAAAAAGATGATGCTAGCCACCATTGAAATGCACCACCCTTGGGGTATACCTCTGTTTTACAACTGGATCTGATTCTTACAGATCTCTTTATTAGTATCAGTTTATTAACTGTACAGTAGACCCCATGAGGGCCGCATTTTGCTCAACAGTACCTATCAGATTCCAGAACAATCATTGCATCATCTAACAGGAAACCAACTTGCGAACAACTGAGCTCACTCTCAAGAGTAGTTTTAATGTCCATCCAGGCTATAGGAGCTATATCCATATAACTTTCTAACTGAGTACCATTTGCTTTTCTCTCTCATGTCCTGGCTCTTCCTCAACCCTCTGCATTCCATGGTCCCACTGCTAGAAAAGTGTGTTTGTAAAGAAAAGGTGCTTGGAAGCGTCTCTGACTTCTGCCAAATGAAATACGCTTATGGTAAGTGAGTAGTAACATGTCCTCAAGGCATGATAATTTCACTGTGTTCTCCCTATGCATGTTATTAGCTGATAGCTATGAAAAATGAGAGAAGGGGCTAAGGCAGGAAATAAGAGGTAGGATTTCTTCTACCTTTTTTGACATGTCCGACTTCTGATCAGAACTGAACCAGGCTCCTTTCCACCCAGTCACCTTCCCTCTCCACAGCAGCAGCAGTGCTAGAATTGGAACTCGACATCAAGAATGAATGATAAAAACCTTCTATCTAAACCACCATTGGTTTTGCACTGGTTATGCAGGTTCAAATGGCCATGCTTGTTTACCAAGAATGTATTTAAGAGTGTGTTTTATGATCACCTAGTTCATGCCATCACATGAAGCAAGAAAGGAAAGCTCTAGCATCCAAAGGTTTGATGTGTTTTTGCCATGACACAGTGCAGCCCACTTGTGGGGTTAATCTAGATGAGATTACCCTGCCAAAAGCTATGGGATCCTCTTAAATTAAAGGCACAGAAATTTATCACAGCAACCAGATGCTGGGCCACAAAACAAGAATGCTTTTCCGGGTTTGTTGTATGGAATTGCAGCCATGTGACATGCAAGCAGCCTGATGGGAAGCTTCCTGACTTCCTTCCTGCAGAGCAGACAGTCCCTTCCCACAGGATGAAGTTTTTGAGAGGCCAGTGTTAAAGCCCAGCAGAAGGTTCCTAACTGCAAAATATAAAGCCTGGAATCAGTGCACTTAAAAGCAGGCTGTTACCTGCTGATCTGCTTTTTGCACCCTTCCTATGTGCACATACAAGGGTTTTTCTATGATTTCCAAGTGTTTGACATCAGCCCATTAAAAAGTAGTTGCTGAATAACATACTGAAAGGATCAGTTAACTACTTCAACAGAAAAATCTAGCTTTTCTGCTACAACTCTATTTAGAAGAACCATGACTGAAGTGGACAAGCACTGCAATGCAGCTGCAGTGATTTTTTCATGTCTTCTTTCAAGGTGTTAATGTTCCACCTTTTAGCAGCATAAACCAGAATTTATTGTTGGTCTCTATCTTGGTATGTTTTCTGGCAGTGATAAAAGCAAGAATCCTTTCGGCTCATGACAAAGGGACCCACGCAGAAGTTGTTGTGAAGGTGAAGAAGGTCCTGAAATCAGGCAAAGTGAAAATCGCTCGGAGCAACAGAAGCATTTACCCAGAATCCTGGACCAACAGGGGATGTACATGTCCCATTCTCAACCCTGGTAAGGACAAAATGCTTACCAGCTAATTTCCATCCCTTCTAAACTGTGGTGGTAATTCATTGCGAGCATGAGCTATGGCTACATTCCTCAATTCAACCTTCCCTATTGCTGCCCTTCTTGCAATAACAGCTTAGCCCGCTTCATCCAGGTTATGTATGTGCCATCTCATGTGCATGCACACTTTGATGTGCATATTGTCAGTACTGACTCCTGTCCACACAGGCTCAGTGTTGTCAGATGATTTATGCTCAGGAGTTACAACTACACATTGACATAGTTCCAGTGGCCTGTATCATTTACAGATTCAACACCTCCATGTACAGATGCCCAGGTTTGAGTCTGATCTGTCTGGCCTTTGTTTTAAGCCACTGTAACTCCATGTGCTTCAGTAGTATTACTCTTGGCTTGTACAGGTATGATGAGTAGCAAAATTCCATTTGAACAGATGTATTATATATTCTGTATTATATGTGAAAACAGTGAGCCAGACTTCTTAGGTTATAACTGTAAGATGTAGGTAGTAGGGCCTCAAAAAAGAGGCCAGATCCTTATGAAATGGAGTAATTCTGTATTTAGTTCTGTTTTCTTCTATTTAGTATTGACTGAAGTTTTTTCTCCCTTTTCATCTTTTTCAACTAGGTACTGACTATCTCATAGCAGGCCAGGAGGACTCTAGGACCAGCAAACTCCTTGTGAACATGAACAGCCTGGTGAAACCCTGGAAAGCACATTTGGGAAAACAAGTATCAGATATTCTCCGAACTGGATGCAAATAATTTCTGCTTCAGGAGTTGCGGAGCTGAACTTTGCCTCTTAGTAACACTGCAGTGAAAGGTGTAGTTAGCTCATGCGTTTCCATTCAGGATGCTCCTAGCTGAGGTGATGGAAGCAGACTTGCCATCTTTTCTCCTTTCACACACATAGGAAACTTGGGATGTGACTCCTTTTCCCACAAAGGCACAGCCTAATCATACAACATTAACTACAGCATCGTACATAGGCTAGAAGTCAGTTCCTAATTTAAGCCTGGTTCCACATATCTGGAGAATCATTTCACAAGGCAAAACTAAAGATATGGATTAGTATTACCATACTTCAGGTCAGAGTCTGGTGTTAATGTGTATAAGCTGCTTACACAATGCGTTCAGCTCTTGGGTGTAGTTTTCCTTGTAAGTAACCACTTACAAGGCAGCAGTTTCTTTCAGCTTTACCAGTGGAATGATATTAAACAGCACATCAAATAATAGAGAGCTCAGATTGCTGTAACACCAGACTGCAATTATGCCAATAGAACAGGTTGTTTCCCAGGAGGCAATATTATCCCATTGCTGAACAGGAACACACTAACACATGATTTCTCTTGGGACAAGGGCCTGCATAGATGTATACTGCTATCATCAATGCTTAGGGCTGCTGCAGAAACTAAACTTGGCTCAAACTTGATTCCAAATCCAACCCTTACTCTCCGAAGTCATTTTGCTCTTTGCTGTAGTGCTTTAGTTTGTAACACCATTAAGGTTTCACAGTGAAAAGCCTTAATACTAGGAAAGAGCCAAAACACGTGAGGAAATAGCAGCTGCTCTAATGTTGGGATTGTGACACTACAAAAGCTGCAAGGCTGAAGCAGGAGGAGGTAACTGGACTGTGCATCAAAGGAGGGAGCTCTGTGAGAGCATCCTGCCTGTTCAAACTGTGCTCGAGACCACTGGCATTTGATTGCACTTAGTGCTTTCATTCTGCTTTATATCGGATTAAGATACCGAAGCTTGGCTTCCCATTGTACCTGAGGATTATTTTTCCCTCTGCAGAAGCACAGGAGTGATAACATCTGCACTCTAGGTAAAAATAGTTCTGTTCTGCAAGAGCATCCTTTCTAACTCGATTTTACCCTATAGTCACGAAGAGGTAGCATCTTGAATCATTCCCTAACACAGTGTTTTGAGGTAAGTGTAGTTTAAGACCTGCATTCCCTGTTGAAGGACTCACGATAAATGAAGCTGATTGGAGCACATTCCCTCTTCAAATAAAGCAGAAACTGTGAGTCAGTCTATTCTTTGAAGGGGGTTCCAGAGAAGCAGCATGTACACCAGCTACTTCTGCTATTCCTACTCCATGTCTATAACACTCTCAGGAGGTATCTGCTATCTTCATCCAGCACTGTCTGACTGGCACATGGAGTACCTAAAGAAAGCTAATACTAATGCAGAATGATTGCGGTCCCAGTTGACAGCATAGGCCATTGGTTTGTTCTCTTTATCACCAGCTGCTTTCCTGCCATTTGTTGCTGTTTTCAGACTGGTTGAACAGCAGAAACCCCTCAGCTCATTTGGGAATGGATGACAGGCAGATACTTACAGAATAAACACCCTACTTTTTCCCCAGCAGTGCATAAACAGTGTTTCTGCCTCCCCCTTTCCTCCGACTTCTCCCCTCCTCCATTGCCATGACTTTCCCTCTTTCACTTCATTATTTATTTGTTGTTACCTCAAGTGGTATCCAACACTGTGGCATCTCCAGAAGCCATTAAATTAATGCAATAAACCACTTTTTAACCAAGGAATTTGGTTTAATTTGCAGTGTCAGCTTACAGAAGGTAAGAGCGTAGCAACTGCTTCCTTTAATGTCTCCAGAAATCATCTCGCCACAAAGACTGAGCAGTTCTCTTTCAAATCTCAATAAAGATGTGTACGTGAATTTACAGTCTGTTCTAAAGGGCCTCCAAGAATAAATAAAAACTAAGTGTAGGTTTAGAATGAAGCTAAGGAACACGCTTTTCAACAGAGGCCATTCTATCTGCAGGGGATCTTATTTAATGATGCTCATATTCCATTTTGGTTTATAGTCAGTACCACATTAAAGCAAACTCCCATATTCCACTCTTTGTGCCAGCTTGGTGATTTTGTGGGGAGGGCAAACATCTGCACAGATCCTTAATGTGGGTGAAAAGTTATTTTTTACATGGTAATTTACAAGCATTTCTAGCTCCTGCTAGGGGAAATGCTGTTGGGAACAAGATATTGATACCCTGGTGTGTTCTTTTGGGGCCTTCTGTAACACAGTGATCAGTGACTACCAACTGCAAGCACTGCTGGATGCAAAGAAGATAGTTGCCAATATATCACACATTTCAGGTATCATGGCAGTAGGTGATGCATACACATGCTTTAGAGATAAGAAATCCAGCTAATTTTTTCTCCTAATTTCCCATTATTTTGAATCTCTAATTTACTTGCTGGTACCTGTATAGCTCAGTCACCTTCACTCCATTAGTCAGAAACACAGCACATCTTGTTCCAGCTACTTAGCTGGTGTTGAATGGTTTTGCTCTACAGAGTCGTGGGTATTCCATAAACATGGAATTTAATTCAAAAGTGAGAAATGAAAGCACATTTGGATAAGCCAACAGAGCAAGTTGGTTTATCAATATCATTGTTTCTGCTGATCAGGTTCACATCATCTTCTCTGAGTTCACAGAGAAGGCAAATGAAAGAATAAAAGTTCCAGCCACCATGTGCAATCTGTTTGTTCTGCAGTGCTATAATCCAGGTAGCCTGGCTGAAAGTAAGTATCTGAACAGAAATTAACTGCCTAGATCAAGCTACAAGAGCTATTGATTAAAGAAGAGATGGGAAAGTTGAAATTCATCACCATGAGACTTTGGGAAGGAAAGAAGTTATTATCTTGAGTACTGGTACCTGAAATAAAGATGAGCATGAGACAGTGCAAGGTGAGAACTGTCTTCCTAGTAGAAGCTGTTATGTATTCCTCAGGACAAGCAAACAAGTCTATGCATAGCTAATTAAAAGAACTGCCATAGACAATACAGTATTCCTGTACCAAACCCCAAATTGTTTTGTAGGCCTGAGTACAACATCATACACCTTGTGATCCCCATTGTGACCGTGTGTCTTGGGTGGTACAATAATGCAGAGAATACTAACATGGAGAGAAGGATGTATCTGCCCAATACAGAAGTGGCTGAACCTCTTCTTTGAGTACATCTAAAGTGAGACCTGTCTTTAAATTGGACACATGAACATGCCTATAGCATCCAAATAGACAAGGTGCCTCACAAGCGGTAGCAATCACATACCAAACAGTAGCCAATTCTGCATAAGGATGAAATAAAAGCCTTTATCCACAAATAAAAAGGAGTTTGAAAAGCTGTGGATAATTTGTAATAGCACTGGTGATTGAAGCAGAAGCATGTGTAACTTTCCACAGATAGCAGCAAATCCAGGAGTGCTGGAGGTCAAAGCAGCTCTCTGGAGCACGTGCATCCATGAATGCTTCTCCAGCTCTGCTCTTGGCAAGCAGCTAAGGAGGAAAACATACTTACACACAACCTTTGTGCACTGCTCTTCTGAGCGTGGCTCCCTGATATGAAGAGGAAGTTTTCTCTGCAGCATTTACCATGTGGCTCAGTTTCTCCATGCTGCTTGATGTAAGCTTTCTCTAATCGAGGTAACTCACAAGATGCTCATCCCCAGGCCCCTGTTGTTATGTGTTGTAGCACTTTTTCTGTACTTGAAACTTCCATTAAAAATACTCAGACACTTATCCTGATGTGATGTTTGGGATCTATCTTTAAGCTTTTAAACCACTCAAATCACATACACATTAATTCTTTTTAAGTTACTAAACCACCAACATTCCAAACAGCAGGTTTTTGCTTCAACGGTGTTAGCACCGTCAGGCAAACGGAGAAAAGCATTTAGCTAATAAGGCAACCAGGATACATGTTTAATTGATGTAGCTGGCATGTTAATTCAGTAACTGATCAAAACCCAGTCCTGCAGTCTTACATGTAGGTGCTTAAGTCCCATAAGAAATATAAACCTGAAGTTTTACTGATTTGAGACCTAATGAGGTCTAAAAAGCACTTAACAGGTCCTAAAACTACTCCTTTACACAGAGGTGATGCAAGAATTGTGTCATGAAAATAGGAACGTGTGACAAGCAGGCAGAAGATGCCCTACGTATAAATGCTCAGGACTTAGGTAGATAGAAGTGTGCTCATGTCAGTCTCCGTACTCTGATGTGACTGACTCTAGGGGAAAAGGCAGTAAGGCTAGAACTGAGAAGGGAACAAAAGAGAAGAAGCAACACTCTCGTAACAGTAAGGAAAAGGTTAGAAACCACAGATGTAGAAATCATACAGCTCCTCTCCCATAGAGCACCCTACAAAGGGAACGAGCACATTAGGAGGAGATGCTTTCACCTCCTTAGGAGGGATGAGGAACTTGCCACATCCAGAAACAATCAACAAATAAATCACACCCCATACAACAAACCCTGTGTCCACGAACCCTGCGCAGCACTGTGCCACATCTGGGTTAATCTGCAATGTGCAATCACCTCAGAGCTTCCTGTGCTCTTTGTTCTGGCTGTGACAGCTCACGAGCTCTCTGCTCACACATACGGCAACACCCACGAGTAATAAGCTATTTGGAAAAAGCCCCTCAAGAACAACAATATTTCCTCTTGGTTTAGAGATCACCCCTCCAGTCAGGCCCTGGCTGCTGGCTATAGCTTATGCCAAGAACATGGAATTCACTGTATTTGAGAGATGCATCCTGCTGCTTCTCCCATGCTCATCTAATGATCCCCTATGTCCTGAACTAGAGTTCTCATCATCCTACCCTATGCAGTCACCACTCTCTCAAGTTCTCAGCGTCACTACCAGAACATCAGTTCTAGAGGGGTTAAAAGGAGTTGAAAAACAACTGCAGGCTGGTGCTGTGCAATCAAATGAAGTCATGTCCAGTGACTAGAGCTGGCTGAGAATAAATGACAAAGTGCTGGTAGCTTCTCTACACTGTCCCACACCAACTAGAATTTTAATGAGAAGTAAAACAAGAGTCCAAGAAGCAAATAATGTCCTTTTTTCTCTTGCCTAGGAATAAGAAAATAGGCTCTACCTATTGAGGTAACAACTCTCCTCAAAGAGATTCATTGACGTGTGATCAGATAAGTGCCTCAGATGAACTGGCAACATCACTGAGGTTTAACAAGGAAGTGCTCAGTGAGGACTGCAGAGGATATAGATCTTGTTTCCAACATAGCCCTGCCAGATCCCCAGATCTAATGATCCTGAGAATGAACTGCAAGATAAGCATCACCCTCCAGACACTGTTGTGTACATCATTCCTGCTGCAGGGAAGAAGGAAAAATAAAAGGTCATTCTCACACCTGAAGCAAGGTCCTATCTCTAGGAAAGTTACTAAGCACAGGTTAGGTCTTTGAAATGCAGGTAGGCTGTACTGCAGAGAAAAGCAGAAATCAGTAACTTTTAAACACATTCTGAAATGTAACTTCATCTAATTTTAACCACTTTCAGTAGTTAACTATATTTTCACATATATTTTACGTTAAAAGAAACAAGTTTTATAGGCAATGTTTACCTGCATCAGAAGACGCAACACATGCTCCGCAGAGTCAAGTTTGAGTTGACTGCAGGAGCAACTCCATCCTAACAAAGAAGTTATTAGAAGCACAGATGAATTTGTGGCCTGCATCACACAGGGATTCTAGCCAGGTGAGGACAGTCCTACCCAGCTGTCAAAACCAGAGCTTCTTTCACCGCTGCATCAACTCCAGAGTTGCAGCAAGTCCAACAACTGAAGACTTGATTAAAACTTGCAATACTTCGGTTTTCCAAGTAATACTGAACAAGGCAGTGTTTTAGGAGCCTAAAGGGGACTTCCTTTCTAACACCTCAAACACGGTACTTACTGGTTTGCAATTTCTGAGGTAAAGCCCTTACACATATTCCCTATTTACCCAACAGGTGACCTTCAGCAGAATCAGAAAGAAGCAACTCCATCCTAAACACACCTTCAAATATGTTACATTATATGCACCAGGGTCTCTCTGGCAGTATTAGGGTCAGGTTCTGAGCTACTGGTGACCAGGATTCTTGCATTTTGTTTCCTACAGATGCTAGAAATAGAGGCTAAATCCCAAAGCTGCAGAGCATAGGAGGCAACGTGGGAAAGAAAAGCACAGCAGGAAAAAGTAGGAGGCAAACAGTTCTTAGAACAGAGCATCCCTTCACAAACACCATTTCCATTTGAACAGCCAAAAGCTTGGGTGCAAGTGATGTGTTTTTATTTGGTGCCCAGTGTTTATCTGATTGCTTAAGATTCTGTTTTCATGGTCCAATTGCCTGAGTGCCAAGGTTTATCTCTTATCTCTGCTACTTTTGTGCTCATTTACTCAGGTTAACTTGGCATTTGCCTTCCAACACCTGAAAGGGTCACACTGAGAAGCTCTGTCACACTTTTCTCTCTTAAAAGCATAGAGGTGCTGAGAGTACCTGTTCTCCATGTACTTGGATCTGAGTAGCTGTCAGCCACTTAATTTCCTACAGGTTTTTTTGAGGCTCCAGCAGCTGCACTGAGATATGAACAGCTCAAACACACTGTAACAGGAATTCCCCTCAAATATTCAGAAACATCATCACTAACACTGAAATAACTTGTGCAAGCAAGATACCAAAATATTATATGGAAGCAATGTTGCTGAGCACCCAAGACTGCTGCCCAGAGACAGGCAAGTGTTCAAACATTACTAGACTTATTGGCCTGCATTATTGTCATTACAACTCTATGCTTTGGTTAAGTTAAGCAGCACATGAAAGAGAAAAAAAACAACCAAACCAACCAGCCAGCATGCAGTGAAGTTAGTGAAGCTGATTTGTTCCGTAATACAATTCTCACAGCCTACATTTTATTAGGAAAGAACAAGGTAGCATTCCCTTACCCACAAGTATTAAACTATAGCGAATTATCATTCAGTTATTTACACCTTTAAAGTAATTTTCAAGTATTTTAATTGCTTTTCAGGCCCTCTGTAGTGCTGGTTCATGATCCAGTCTACAGGTCCTGAAAATTCTATTTTTCATGCCTTCCTGACCCAGGCTGGGGAGAAAAGAATGGAACAAGAATGAAAACCTGACAAGCTGAAGCAACCGTGTTTCACAACCCACAAACTGATTCAAAGCCTGCTTACAATGCAGAAGAGTTATTTCAAACCCAAGCAGTGTTAAAGAAACACACCACAAAGACACAGGAGCTTTCAGTGAAGGTAAAAAGTATTTGCTTTTTAATATGCACTTCAGTCACAGTATCTGTTTTGAGATCATTACACCAGGTAACCTTTCCATTGTATTCTCATCATATTTTACAAGAGCTTATCTATACACCAAAGGAGCAGATGCTAACTACAGGAACCCAACAACCGGTGCTTTCAGAGCGAAAATAAAGCCAGTGATCAACATCTTTCCGTCAGTCTTTAGCAATGGTTGCTCAACACACCATTGTTAAATATGTAAAACCCATCACAATTAGGAAATGAAATTAAAGGAGAGATGCATTTCAACATCCTTGTTCTGGCATCCTTACCTGATGCCAGTAGGAAAATGCAATCAAAGTCTACTAAAACCATTTGAAGTTATTTTACAAACTGGATTTAGGCAGTTTTCAATTTTCTGTATCATTCTGGCAAAACCCAAAACTCTTTAAGGAAAAAAAAAAATAATCAATCCTTTAATGCCACTCGTATTAATAGAAAACATTAAAAGAACAGCTATGGATCAAGACATACTGAAATGAAAACAGACCTGGTGTGCTAGTGGAATTTCAGTTGAAAGCGATATATTTAGACATTATTCAAGTCAAAACTCAAGGAAAACTTGAGGGTTAAAGAAGGTGTTAAGGTATTAACTGTGTGATAGTAAGTTACACAGTACACACACATACTTGTTTTTGCAGTATTTATTTGCAAGACTGTACCACTGAGATTTCTCCTTCAGCAATAAATTATTTACTATGATACAGTGTCTAAGACAATGGTGAGACATTTCTTGGCGACTCAGAAGACAGACATACTGCAAAAGTCCATGTCTCTGAAAATGAGAAATGGAGACAACAGCCTCCTTGCATCTTCATTAGCTAGATCCCTTCTCCTCTTTGGCAGCAGCAGCCTCCATAGAAGCAGCTTCCAAATCTTTGCTTGACTTCTCCTTCTCCTCGGTTTCATCCTCTTGAGGGTAAAGATCTGGGTATTTTTGCATGCATTCCTGCATGGCACGGAATTGGTCCACACAGTCTGATCCCTTTATTTCTTCTGTGCTGTAGTGGAAACAAGAGAAGGCTGACTTGAACTGTTCCCCACAGGGACCACTAGCCATTCCACCCAGACACGGGCAATTCCAATTGATATCTCCATTGGGCAGTATCAATCCTGAACAAACAAGAGAGAGAAGTTAAAGCTCCTTCCAAAAATGGACTTCATTCAGTGAAAGCTGCTAAAATACAGGTGTAAGTGGAAGTACTCACAATGCCCTATTAGTTCTGTAGCTTCAAAGGTGCTAAACACCTTCCACTTCCTGGCCAGGCTTTCTACCTCTCATCTGCATGATCCTTTACTGGGCACCAGTGAGGTCAGTTCTATATCCATGCCTGAGTTCAGTCTTTCTCCCTGGACTACAATCACTGAGAATATTCTAAGTAAACTTCAAAACAGATTGAAGTCAAGACCATCCACTTGCCAGACTCTGCCAGGGGAACAAGCAAGCCTTAAAATCATGTCATACAAGTTATATGACATTAATTCCAGTATTAAGAGTAGAATTCTTTTAAATCAAGGATGTGGTTTTCTTGTTTTAAATGAACTTTAGAATACTAACCCACAGCTTCAGTGTTGATCAGTCTCCTTTTCAATACTGAAAGTAACAGCCTCCATAGCATGATTTAGTCAACTACAGTAACACTGCCATTTTTTGATAGATCATGCTTTATTTGGCAAGATAGATCTGTAAAAAACACTGTACAGAGATGTCCCTAGTACAGTGTATACGGCATCTTCAGTGGCCTGGAGGAAAAGCAGGACTACTGAGGAGAGGGAGATGGATGGCTGGTGCCAGATTCCTTTATGCCATCCTGACATAAAGGATGACATAAAGCAGAAAGATGTTGGTCATCCAATGTTTAAGAAATACAGCTTGCTTGGTAAACTTGATTCCTATATTCCTCCTCATGCATTTTAACTTTTGTCATTTTAAACAGCCATTTTTCTAATACTTCAGAAAGAAAAAAAAATACATGAGGAGTTGTGAGATGCTCCTGAAGACACCACAGCAATGGAGTTACATGTAAAATAATTTTCTTCAAATATATTGTTACTTTTGGAACCAGAACTGCCTTCTAAGCTTGTGAATTAACAACAATGTAAGAGTTATGCCATAAACAATACATTCCTGTATATCACATGACATTGATTTGCACCTATTTGATCACAGAAATAGCATCAGTTTTAGAAACCATGCTTTAAAAAAAAAGCAAAACAAAACCACAGACGAGTAAGACAAGCATTTCCTCATTGGTAAATACAGCAGCAAGCACACTTCAATGGCAAAACCCCTGTTCACATCACAGCAGATGAAGACTTGCATTAGCATCAATTGCGGACATCACACTTCATCTCTCTTAGCTCCTGGGATCTGTTAATACCACAGATGAAGGCAGAAACAGCTGCATTTATGTCAACACTTGTCTTTGTACTTGCTGTAATGAAATCCCACTGTTGTTCTGAGGAAGTTTCTTCCCCGTTTTGTGACAAACATCCCAATAACAAGTTCATCTGCCAAGGATGCACAATCTAAGATGACAGACACACAGGAAGCAGGACTGAAAGAGACATCATCAGTCATAAAGAATCCTGTACATCTGACCATTCATCAGGTTCTTTCTTAAAAGAATTAGGGCTTTGCTTCATCAGTCCTTTGGGGAAACTGTTTCAAAACTGTCTGCAAAATAAGATGCCAGGAACAAGTGTGGAAACACAGAGAAGGGAGAGGACAGCAACAACCTGTGTTTATAATGCAATTCCACAAGCACTTTTAGCCAACTCTCCTATCATGTGTCTAATAATAAAAATTACTTCCCATGCAAAAGGCTCACGACTTCCTTCTTCATGGAAGACTAATAAAATAAGTTATTTAGCTGATGGGAGCAAAGATCTCAATGAAAACTAGAGCCCTTTAACATTTAAAGTTTTCCATGTGCAGCACAAGAGACCAGAAACAAGCTTTACAGTGAAAATGCTATTTCAAATTACTGCAAATGAATTCTTGTTTCCATCAGCCACAGCTGTTAAGAGGCACATACAATGAACTCCGAGACACACTGCAATATGGAATGCTAACTTTGTCGGCATTCCCATTCCATGTGGCTTCACTTCTTTTGATGTTTTTGCCTACCAAAATCTCAAAACTTGTTTTGTTCTATCAATGTCCTAGCTGATAGAAATAAAAAAAATAAAAATACTACACAAGTTTATTTTCTTCCAAAGGAAACAGAGCAGTTTTCACAAGTCATCTGCTAACTAAAGCAGACTGCTCAAAGACTTATCTATTAATGCCTGAAGCAAAATGAAAACTAGCCAAAAAACCCAAACTATGCATTTATCTTAAGTATGAAGAAGGTCCCTATAAAAAACTCAAAACCTCACATAAAAGTTTTAGTTGTATTATAAAACAATACTATAGAATAAATATAAAAAAAATCTATAGGTATCTATTAATGTAGATATAAAACATCTATACAATAAAACTGTTCTTCCTCAGATATGACTGGTCTGTGTATAGCACAGCAGAAAAGATGAAAAGAGTCAGAGTTAATTAGGCCACAGAAGTTGAAGACTGTAAACCAACTCTTCTAATCAAAGCAGAAGTTAAATCAGAAAAGCCTGCACATTGCTTTATGTGCAAATAAAGCAATATTTATTTTTTAATATGGGAAGCAGAGCCCTTCCCATTTGCTTTTGGATAAAAATCACATGAACTTCTGCACCTCAATGTATTCCAAAGCGTTTTGCCCATATGTCCTTCCTGCCCACAAATTTCACACCCACTAAATGCAACACTCTGTGATATGTCAATTATTTCTGATTTGATCTGATGCACTGTAGCCTGAGACCATTCGAATAAGAAGTTTGCAGATAATCCTTAAAACATGGCAGTAACTCACCAAATGCTAAGGAGAAAAAACAAAACCAAAAACCTGCCAGCTTCTACAGAGCTTCTCATTTTAAATCATACAGACACACATTGTCACTGCAAGGTGTCCCTGACATAACTAGCTTCTGGCTTTCTGTTTTCTTCCCTGCTTCATAATTTAGGAAGCAAGTGATCTAACATGCAGTAAATACAAGATTGCTAGGAAAACCCCCACCACCTCCCCTCTTCACCATGGCTTTTACACATCCAGCAAAATACACGTAAGAGGAATCAATTAATATGACATTTAAAAGAGGAGGAAGTGGCTCTTTTAACTTAAGACTAGTTTCTTAACAAAATACATGGCACAAGACTATATACTTAAGGTATATGTACAAAGAAAATAATTTGGAGCAAACGGGTGGGGTGTGAGACAGAAGGAAGACAATCCCCCCTTTAGAGGTAGCAAGAGAACAGTTTTCTATGTTCACATTCCAAGCCTTTATAGTAGGTGAACCTGAGATGGGCACCCTTCCCTTTCCTCTTAGAAGGCAGTGTCAAAAATAGATGCTTAGTTATAGGACTAATATCCATTCACATGCTGTTGCTAGAGAGACACCTTCTACTAACAGAATAATTACTGCCAAAGACCATGAATGATTATAAGGGAGAAGACAAGTGAACTTTAAACAACCACAATACAGACTGCATACATGAATTTACTTCACTAAACAGGAAGCTACTTTGTTTAGCTGTACACCACAAAAGGTGACTTAACAGCTCACTGAATGGTAAAGTATCCAAGCGTTTGCTCTCCAGATGTGATATTCAGAAAAAGCATCTTCCTTTGCTTTATTTGCAAACAGTCTCCAGTTTTTCCAAAGGAAACAGAAAGCCACAGGCCGCAGAAAAGGAACAGGGGGAATTTAATTCCACCATCTGATCATTAGAGGCTGTTAACTCTTCACTCAACAGTCCACTAATGGATTTTACATTTGCCTGCATCAGCAGCTAACTCTTCCATGTAGCAAACTGCTAGGAAAAATGCTCTTAAAAGTGAGCTCTCCTTAGACACTGCTTTCTACCTAAGGGTGAACTACTTTGTACAAATGACTTGTCTGTTTCACCTTCCACCCTGGTCAAGGCAGCAACAGATATAAGTGCCACACAGATTTTATTGCCTGTAGAAGTCTCCATTTGAAATCCTTAGGCGATGAAGACCCATTCCCATGGGGAAAATAAGGACAAATCCCAAAGTATAAACTGTTTCCACCAAAGAGGCAGTTTGGGTGTTGGGTCTTTGCCAGTTAAACAATCTACCTGACAATACACAGTAGAAAAATTCCTGATAGATACTAAACTGCAGTTTTGAAAGACCTTTCTGAAATTCTCTCATTGTTCTCATCTGGATCACTATAAAACTGAATGGACTCATCACTGCTGACAAGCAAAACTTTTATATATCATCATAAAAAGAAGTCACTTACTGACTACATACAGTTGCAATGTAGCCAAGAGAGGCAGCTAAATGCAAAATCATTTCAACACAAACCTATGTATGAAAAAAAGTTATTTTAATGACATAGGAGGATATGGTTCAAATTAAACTACTAACAAAATGATCTTGTGTGCGCCAGCTGCTGAATTGTGCTTGAACACTGCCCTCTAAAGGTCTTCACACAAAGTAAAGAGGCTAAAGACCTCTAAGCAATAACAGCATCTAGAAAATAACCCAATTCACAGATGTTCATGACAATTTATTAACATGGGGAAAAGTTTATTTAATCATCATGATAGGAAGATTATTTCGTTTATCCATTAGAAGCAACCAAAAATGTTCTGTGCAATCAGAACATTACAAGTCTTGACCTCAGAAACATTCCTCTCCTAAATCTCCAACAGCCAGTTAGATTTACTTCACAGAACTGCAATCTTCACTGAAAACTTTAACTTACATCTTTTCAAGATGGCTACAGTTAAAAACAGAGTAATTTGAACTTACCTGTCATGTGCCATTGAAAGATATTACTATGAATTATTGATTACATTGCTACTAGTATAGTACAGGATTAGTCAGCTCTAATTTCAGCTATAACTTATATTAAATTGGATATTGACAGATCACCAAATCAGGCAATTCCAGCTGCACACAGGCAACTCACATCAATGACAGTGGTATGCAACTTACTTCAGCACCTCTAAAAGCTGTATTTCCTTATTTAGAAAGTGAAAAGCACAACCATCATTTTCACTGGTTAAGCTGTAACTTCACTAATAAAAGAAGGGAAGGAAAAGTGTTTTTCTGGGTACCTCTGGCTAGTAACCAAAACTATCAGGCATTCATTGACACATTTGAACAGACTACTTTGAAAGATTATTAAAAGCTAGGGAAAAACACACCACCATAAGTAAAACATGTCATTTGTGATGTTAATTTGGAAGTTAAAACTGCTAACAGTTTGGGTGTTTATCTATTGAATAACCAGCTGCCCTCTGTTTTTAAAAATGAATGATTTGTTCCTGCTTCCTACAAGGTTGGCTTTCTTTCGTTAAGACTGGTAGTATATATGTGATGTATCACTTCTTACTTCCATGCTTCTGCTTACTACTGACCTTGTTCTTCATAAGGGTCATCTGGGTCATCTGCAACCAGCTCAGCACTGCTCGGTGTCTCATGGTCCTCCTTGGTAGCAAATATGATTCTGTCTTTTCCTGCCATATGGGAGACAACAGGTAAGAGTTCAGGGAAAGATGATGCGGGAGGAGTCATTTACAAAGCTGCTGAACACCAAAAGGTAATGAGATACTCAGCGTGATGCATTAACGTTAACAGTGAATTAATCCTGTTGTACTTTTCACCTTCAATTAGAACAGCTGTTGGTTCATACACAGCTGACATTCTACTCTTCTAAAGCTCCAGCTTTCACAGCAACACACTGTAATGGCTGCAGATCACAGTGCAGTTCATTGAACTGTGAAGCTAAAAAGCTATTTCAAAACAAACTCAAACTACTCCATTACCAGCACTAACCCAGATGAAGGGGAAAGGAAAAAGAAAAGGGAAAGAAAAACTACACTAAAGTGTTCCATAGGATACTTATTGATAATAGTGCTCTACATTAAATACTGGTGTAATATTTTACAGGAAATATCTGACTTAAAATACTGAAAAGCATCATAACGGTGTGGAATCAACTATAGTGAAAGGTGTTGTGAACATTACAAAGGACAGAAACACAAGACAGCACCTTCCTGCTTCTGTGCCACTCTTGATTTAACAAAGCTCTGTAGTGTGCAGCGGGGGAGGCTTGGCTGGAAACCTGAGTAGAGTTCTCTAATAACTATAAGCACTCTGAGGCAGATACAAGCAGAAAACAACAGCCAGATGAAACTCTTCTGAACACATAATCCAGTATTCATGGAGTGGAAAGTAAATGGCAAGTTCCCCAAGAACTTCATTCTGTTCTCCAAGTTCATAAAGCCACAACAATGACTTGGCATGTTAGAAACTAGAGTCTTTTTTGCCCCTCAATGCAACCTCAACCAGCTGATGTTCAGTAACTTCCCGTTTAAATATGTCAGAGAAGCAGACAAATCTAAACCTCTTTTAACAGAGCAGTTTCCTGTCAGTTCTGCATTGTACAGTTAATGTAAAATGTTCAGGCATTTCTTATGTAGAAGGAACTAAAAATATACAAACTCTAAACCCTTTCACTGAGCTTTGTAGACAACTTACAGACCTTGTAAAGATCCAAGATGTTAAAATAAGCAAGTTAACAACAAAGCAAACGGGCCCATAGGTTACGACTTCCTCACCACAGTCTATAATGGCATTCGACGTATCAAAGTTCATAAACGAAAAAACGGCCTTTAGAAGTATAGAACGGCTTTTTTACAGATTGAAACTTCACATTCAGTCACTTTACATTGCTTAACGGGGGTGAGCATCCCACAGGTTATGAAGCGGTCAAGCCTCTTAACTACCACCACCTATGCAGTACAATACCTTGTACAATACAGAAACACAACGCTCGCATTCTGCCCATCCTGTCCATCTACCGCGTTCTCCCTGAAGAGGTAAAAAACCACCTTTGGCCACTCCAGCTGACGGAAACCCAGCCCTAGGGGAGGGTGCTCCGGGACACGGAGTCACCGCACCGCAAAGCTGCCGAGCTAAAACCGAAGCCCAGAGGCGCACCGCACCCAGCTCCGGCCACTCGCCGGGGATGTTTCAACACCCGCTGCTGGGCCGCACCTTCTCCGCAGGGCCGGTGTGAGGAACCGCAACCGGGACACGGGCCGGCCCGCGGGGCAGCGGTGACCCTCAGCGCTCCCGCCTCACGGGCAACCGCCGCGGCTTCCCGCCTGCCCTGAGGAGAAAGGTCGGACGGGGCAGGCGAGGCGAGGCGAGGCAAGGCGAGGCGAAGCGGCTCCCCCTCCGCCACACACTGGCGCTTTCGCGCCTTCTCCTCCCTCAGGCTGTGCCTTCCCTTCGAGGGCTGAGGTGAAACCGCGTCGCGCCCACCTTCCCCCGGGCCGCCTGAGGGTGAGCCCGCCCGGCCTGTCCCGTCCCTGCAGTGTGACATTGGGAGGACACCCGGGCGCACCTTCTTGCCTGCAGTAGGACATGGCGGAGCCGGGCGGTACCTTCCCCGCAGCGCGCACGCAGACTCGTCCCGCCGGCCTCCACCGCTCCCTCCGCTACCACTGACCGCCACAGCAAGGGGCAGCGGCGCGCTGCTCCACGCTATGACCTCCCGCCTCCGGAAGCACCCTCCCTGCCCGCCGGCGGCCGCTGACGCACCTCCTGCCGACCGCGGCCCCAGAGCCGGCGCGGAGTGAGCGCAGCTACTCGGGAGGCCGGGCTGTGGCGCTGGACTACATCTCCCAGCATGCCCCGCGGCTGCTCGGCGGGACTACATGCCCCGGCATGCATTGCGGCTCGGCTCGGCTCGGCGGTGAGAATAAGGAGGGCGCGGTTGCGGGCGGCTCTCGGTGCGCGGCTCTTGCGGCTTCTCTGAGGTGATACCCGGTGAGACCAAGAGGTCCAACATGTCGAGGAATGTAAGTGCTGCTCGGAGCGGTCCGGTGTGTGGTGGTTCCCCGCACTGGCCCGTTGAGGTGGTCTGTGGGGGCCGGGGGCCCTGTGCAGCGGAGGGGCCGCTGCCACATCCCGCTTGGCACCTTGGGATGAGCAAAAGCCTCGCCTCCTCTCTTGTCTACGTGCGCTAACCTGAAGTTGCATCTTAGGTGCTCCTCACAGCCAACGTAGATACAGGTAGCCCCCCTCGGGCTTGCATGCTTTAACGTGGCACTGGCTAGGACAGCATTAACAGTGGTGTTTTCAGCTCTCTCTTTTTGTTACCCAGGAAGCAAATATTTTAAAGCATGAAGGCGTTTTTCCACTGGTGAGGTAAAATGTAACTTGTTATTTATAGCTGTGTTTTAGCTGCCCTGGAATTTAGGACTATTACTCACGTTGTCATGGCCCGAATGCAGGGTGTGGGCACCAAATAGGGAACCTGGAGACAGGACTGATGGGAGCTTGAAGGAACATGTTGAACCGCTATAACAGAAGTTGTTGTTTTTCCATCAGGCTTCAATTTTAGATAGTGACTGCTTTTCTGGCGTTAAAAGTGTGATGAGGCATTTAAGAAGGTTTTGGTCCAAGACAGGAGGTGCTACTCTGTAGAGCAGCACCATTACCCAAGCTAAAAGAGTTATTTTGCAACCGGATGCCTTCCCTTTCACACCAATATTGCATTTTTGGTTTGTCTCCACCAGTTCTCTGACACAGGCAGCAGAAAAGAACATGTTAAAATCACAAGTGAGTCCAAACCAGGGTTCCTGGAGAGACTGAGCGAGACTTCTGGAGGCATGTTGATGGGACTTGTGACGTTTCTTCTGGCTTTCTACCTTCTTTTTACCAATGAAGTAAGTGACATATGGTCAGTGCTTGTACACAGCTTCAAAACGTCACAGCTGAGGTGCCATTCAACTAGTATTGTATTTACAAGCTTACTAAAATAGTCATGTTACAGCTTCATTCAAGTGTGTTTTAAGGGCATGCCTTGAAGAAGGATATAGAAACATCTGCTGTGGCCTTCAGATCACTTGTCTGCCAGCCTTTGTCACAAAGTACTGCTGTGCCGTTGGTTCTCCACAGCTTGATTTTGCTTTCCTGGGTTGCAGGGCCGAGCTTTGAGGACAGCCAAATCTCTTGATGAGGGGCTTTCGCTTGTGATCCCTCTTGACAGCATCCACAGTGTGTCTCAGCAGAATGAAGGGAGACTGGTGCACTTAGTGGGTGATCTGAGTACATCTAAGGTAAATAAGATAATATCCTGAATATGTGAGTATTTCAAGCTTGGAGGGAAGGAAATTATTTTTCCAATTAATTACCAATTAAAATGATGTTTAATAGCCAGGAGAAGACACGTAGCTTCTCTCTGTAAGTGTTGTTGGTGTTGCTTCTTGGCCTGGAATCAGGGAGATGCTCTACAGCCTTGGTCTCCCTCTAAAGCTGTGTGCCACCTCTAAAGCTGTGTTTACCTTCCCACTGCCTTTGGGGGATCATTTGAATTCCCTTTTGTATAGGGAACCTGTTGTGTATTCATGGTACTGTGAAGTCTTCAGGCTCTTCCAGTACAGAGACTCTGCAAGTTCTGTCTTTTCAGTAGTGAGGACATTCTCTGTGGGCAGCCTATGTTGCAGAAGGTGACACAGCACAGTAGCTTCCAGCAAAATAAAACCTCTCCCTGATTTAAACACTTAAGTCTGCATCCCGTCAGCATTTCAGACTTTATTTTTCACTGTGGCAATAATATTTGATGATGGTTCTTTAGCTCAGATTTATCGGTGCTAAAAAGAGATGGTCCTGTTTGTCTTTCATAACAGTTCCACTGCATTCAGCTGTGTGTAACATAGTCCTATGTACACTGAGGTATGGAAATGGGTTTGATAGTACAGTACAGTTTGTGAGGCACAGCATTTATACTGACCTGTGCTTTCTCTTCTTTTTGCACAGCCTTTGTTTGATCCCAGCTATGGGCTCTCCATCCAGGCTGTCAAACTTAAGCGTAACGTAGAAATGTACCAGTGGGTAGAATATGAAGATTCCAAGTAAGTGACAGTAACCTTTAAAAGTTATTTATGAAGCTGTTGTGTTAACAGGATCCCATCACATTTTTTTTCTCTCCCCCCACTCAATTAACCCCAGCTCCTTATGGCAGGAGAATTCTGTTCATAGTTTCAAGCAGAGGAGGGAAAACATTTCTGTTGTTAATAATAATTCCTCTGACAATTAGCTATTAAGTAGGTCTGAGTCCACAGAATTCATGTTCCACTTGTCTTTTATATCATACAAAAAAGCCTGTTAGACGTGTAAAAGTGTGAAAAATCACTTCTCTGTTTTAACATGCTTCTGGTGCAGCTTCTGTAAAAGACTTGTTAATTTAGGTCAGCTTATCTCACTGTCTTTAATACTGGTTGTTCCCATCTATCTAGTCAGCACCTACTTGGCAACATGGGAGTAAAAGGGTTGTGGCTGTTCAGCATTTGTGTGTAGTATTGTCCTTGTATTGAGAATCTGTGTCTTCAGAATAGTTTAGAGACTTAGTTTACTTGCAAAGACAAGTTTGCATTGTCAGTGAGATGTCTGTGTTCCATTTGTAAAGTGTGTTCTGCCCTGAGCAGGGGTGTGTGTTCTGGTAATCATTCCATCCCGTTTCTCTCCAGGGAATATGAAGAGAACGGTGAGATTAAGAAAGAGACAAAGTATTCATACAGTAAGTCTAGCAACGGAAGGTCCCTTTTCTTTTATATGTAACTTTGAACTTTTATGTGTGTGGATTTTGACTTCTGTTGTAAACCCTCTATTTTCTTGTTGGGAAAGAAAGGAATGTGAAGAAATAAGCAAAAGTTCTGTTTCCTAAACAAATGACAGGACCTCCCCTTCTGGAGGTAACTGTATGTGAAAGGAGGTGTGCTGTTAATAAACAGCTACTACAGAAAATCCAAGTCTTGGAACTCTTTGAGGTTCAGAGCAGCATCCAGGAGCAGGATGCTCCAGAGATAGGGCCTGTAAGGTTCTCAGTGTCAGGAGATGGGCAGAGGTGGTAATGTGTTCAAAGCTACTCCTGAGAGCACTCATCAGAAGTGGAGTAATTGGGCATGTATGTGGTGTGAGCAGAGGAGAAGGGAAGAGCAGTGCAGCTCCAGTCTGTAAGACAGCCTGTTGAGAATGTGTTCAGGTGTTGATACCAGCTAATGAAAACCACCAGCACTTTCTGATGTGTACTGTGGCCTTTGCCAAAAGCTTTTTTGGCAGGAGCAGAACTGAGGGGATTATTCTGATCTACCCAGTGGCAGAAAACCCTCTGAGTCATCAAGTATCTGGAGTTTGGTCTCTGTGCTTCATTTATCTCTGCTGAAAACAGATGGACGTGTAACGTGGGTGTGCAGCAGTTTCTGGGTGTGATCATAAAAATACCCCAGCTCCAGTGAAGCATGGACATACATAAGGAGCTGTGAAAAACAGGAGATTGGGAAGAAGAGGAATGAGGGAGCTTGTGGGTTGAAATAATGACAAGGAGGTTGCTTAGCAGTGGGCATCATGGGCAGAACAGACTCACCTTGGGGAATATTAATTTATTGTCAAGTAAATATTTAATTACTGATTTGGGTGTTGGCAAAACACATTTACTCTCACCCTTTCTCAGGCTTTGGAAAATTGAGTTACAAATTTATCCCTCAAATCCTTTTTCTTTTTTTCCCCCAAGTCCTGCCATGCCTTGTTAATATGCTGGGAGGATGGATTTAAGTATCAGTACAGACTGTCACATACAGACCTTGATGTGAATACTAGAAGTATAACTTGGAACTGATTAAGTTGATTGAGAGGTGTCTTCAGTAACTAGGACCTGTGTGTAAATTCTTCCTGCCTGTTCCTCAGCTGTCATGTTATTTTCTTTAGACACTGAGTGGAAGTCGGAAGTTGTGAACAGCAGGAACTTTGATCGAGAAATTGGGCACAAAAACCCCAGGTAAGTTACTGCCTGGCACAGTCCTTCTCGGTTCTGTCCTTGTATCTGGTCAAAGTTGAAAGCTAAATGACCCATCTTCATGACAGAGTGAAGTAGATGGAAGCTGTTAGTCTTTTGCTAGTTGGGAGACCTAAAGGATAGAGAAATTGGGGAGCAGTTCAAAGCTGCCTGGTGGAACCAGAATTAAGCTATGCAATGGCTGGACATCAGGCTACTATTACAATACCTCTGGACTATGTAGTCTTCATGTGGGAAAACTTGAATGGGTTCCTTCTGACTTTTATTGTCTGTTAGTGCAGTCTGTCACTAATTCTATTACAAGTGGAGGGTTAGAACAGGAGGCATCCCAGGAGCTTGTCACGCCACTTCATCCTGCTTTCTCTAAGCTGGCATGCATGAACTCATCAGCTTATTTGTGGCAATCTCCCGTATATAACTTGTTTCATATAGCTCTCATCTGAAACACTGTAGTTACACTACAACTAACATTGTAATTACACTACAATGTGCCATTTTAATGCTAAGTTTTAGCTTGGTACGGACCAAGGAGACTCAGTGTAACTGTGGTGGATCCTCTCATGAGACCGTGCGGTGTGTGCAGACCTGCTGAACTTTAGAGTTCATGCCTTGCATGAATGAGACTCTATTTTAAGTGTGTGCTATGTGTCTTTCTTCCCTCCATGCAACTTAGACATTTGTAAAAATAAAATCTCTGGTCTCCTGCCAAGGAGATTCCGATAGTACTGCTGGTGGGAATGAAGACTGTAAGTAAAGGAATC